CGAACTGGCAACCTCTTGGTGTGTGGGTTGACGCTCAACCACTGAGCCACATCAGCTGGGCTGATAAGTCCATTGACTTTTAGTCCCCACCAAGCCAAACTCACCTCATCTACAGTGGTGTGCCAGTGTCCTGTGGGTGCTGAGCTTAGGAGTGGCACTGATGAAGGGGGTCTGCTGTAAAGTGGGGAGGGTCTACCCTGTGAAGAGTCCATGAAGGACCGACCATCTGACCTACATCAGAATGAGCATTGACTTCTCTTAAATTACAGATTGTCTGCTCGGCTACTTGATTTGAGCTGAATAATTCTCTTCCTTACACTAAACACAAACAGTGAATGACTTTTGGGGCTGGGTGCCAAGCAAGCAAGGGTTCCTTTTTCCTGATTCCAAGTTCATCGAAAGCTTACTCTTCCAGGAAGGCCCTTTTGTCTCAGCTTGAGGACTCCAGCCCCTGAAGTGTAAAAGCAGAGGGTGGGGGAGTGGAGAGCTGGGTTCTGGGTGGGAAGGAACCAACGGGCTCCTATAAACCCATCACTGCAAGATGGAAACACTGTGAGGAGTGTGGCTTGTGTCACTGAGGAGCTGGATTTGGTGGCCTTTATAGTGGACTGTATAGCTGAAGCCACTTCTTGTCCTTTACTTTATTCCCCACCCCCAGGCTTCGAGCACAGTAGGCCTCCTGATGGAAGCACTGCTTTGTTTCCTTTGGACTCTAGGCCCATGCAGGGCACATCCAGGGGTGACGGCCCCCTCCTTGCCACTGCTTTCTTTGTAGCCAGGTGGGCTAACAGCATGTTTTAGTTGGAGTCAGCTAGTCTCAGAATATTTTTGCCTAGGTTGTCTGACCTTCAGTTCTCTGTCCCCCAGTTTACACAAAATCCATTGGTAGGTTTCGAGAAGGCACATTACAAAAACCCAGAAACAGTATGCTCCTGTCCACTGTTTCTCTTCAGCTCAAGAGGGTGGAGGACAGACACTGGGAGGACTGACTGCATACCTTTGCCCCCTCCCCTCCTCTTCTAGCTGTCTTTGTTGTCCTAGCTGTCTTTGTTGTCTGTCAGGGTGGCTAGCAGCCACCGGGGTCTTTATCTGGAGTTGCTATAGGTGCATTTCCCTCTCCCCATTTTCTACAACCTCTGCTCCAGGGCTAAGAGGAAGGCTGAATGGGTATGCTGAGATTTACTCCAGAAGCCCTGTGGGAGGACTGTCCCTGGATCTTCTTGAGTTTCACTTCGCTGTATTTTTGTGACTCCAGGCTCTTCAGGGTTAGTGTTTCCTGGGGTGGCTTCTGCTCTCTTATTCCAGTTCTATGCCCAAAGCCTTTTCCTGGGGCATCGCCTGGCTTTTGGTTCCTTGCCAGGTCAGCCTCCTGTTTTCCTGGACAGCTGGGACAGGTTCACCAAGAATCCACCCACCCTGGGGAGCCCTGCCTGGGGCAAGGCTATAGTCGGCCTGCAGAGTCAATAGGTGGCACTGTGATACCAGCTTCCCACTTGCATAGGGGCAGCGGGATGAAGGGGAGCTGCCTGCCTACCTGTGCTCTGGTGAGGTCCTGAGGACTGAGTGATCCAATGGGCAGGATCAGCAACAGGGATGGGGGTCCACTGTAACCATAGAATATTCCAGTCAGTACTTGGAATGACCTTCCCCCTGCTCCTGTCCCACTTTTTGTTAAGCCAACAGCAGGGAGACAGGATATGAAGCACGTCTCCCCCACTTGATATGGTTGGCCCTGGTTCTCTAGTGTCCATACAGAGATTGGCTTTCTCCTGCCTTCTCTTGTTTATTCAACCTTTTATAAAAGCACGAGAGTCCTGCCCAGTGTCCAAAAACATCTTACCAAGAAACATATGTTGAATTCAGGTATTTGGAGATGGTGTTAGTCTACCAAGGACCCATCTGGATTCTCAAGGTTCATGTGCTGGCTTCTTTCTCTGTCACTGGGTGCATTTAACCTGGAACCTGGGCCCCTCTGTCACCCCTTTACTTTTGGGAGATTCCTTTGGCTCCTGAGTTCTGTCTGACCTATTGTCCAGAAATGGGTAGCTAAGAGCAGTTACCTCCATAACTATTTGGGTAGTAAAGCAGAGAATGATGGAGGCTAACCAGCAGGAGAGGGAGAAACGGTAATGTTTTCTCCAGGCTGACATCTCCTGGGCTGTTGAGAATTGGAGAATCTGAAGCTCAGCGCCTTCCACCATGGGTCTGGTGGAGACTCAGTGCTAAGGGGACACACAAGGGCACATTGATGTATTTGGGAGGGGCTGGGTGATAGAGGGTCACAGGGGGAGTGTGGGAGCTGGATCTTGATGGTTGAATGTAGGGCAGTCCCAATAGCCTGAGGCGTAGTGTGTGTGGATCAGTGAGAGTTCTAGAAGGCTAGCTCCTGGACAGGCCTACTTGGCCTCTTAGGGAGCATCTGCTCTTGGCTTAGCTTGGGGCCCTGTGGAAACACCCTGAGGACATGGTCCAGGACACTGGGTTCTGCCCCCCCCCCCCCCGTGGTGATGAGTGCTTCCCTGAGTGCCTTCTCAGCTACCACTGTAGTCACAAGCCTGGCTTGCTCATTCACATGAGTCTGACATGCTTTCTTGCCTGTTTCCTGTCACCCTGTTTCTGCACAGGCAAGCTCCATGTCCCGTGTCCCCTTCAGTGCATCTGGGTCGGGAAAGAACCAGGGCTCCAGATCTGCATCCAGCCTGACCTGAGGTGTAGTCTCACACATGTGAGAGTGGGGAGGTCATCTCTAGGTCCTTGGGGGATCCATCTAGAGGTCAAAGGTGCAGTCCCTCGCCTGAAGGCATTGGCAGCTGGGCAGCCCAACTAGGAACGAATGATGCAGAGAGGTGATAAGGAGAACAAGGGAGAAGAATGCAGCCAGATGGGGACAGGGGAGGGTCAGGAGAGGCTTTTTGGGGGCAGGTAGTGATTGATCTGGGTCTTGAATCATCAGCAAGAGTTTGAAAACAGAAGGGGAGGAGCAAATTGCAGACCAGAGAGCTGTGTGCAATGGCATGGAAACAAGGCAAGTGTGAACCCTGCGTGTTCCAAGAAGGGCTAGTGATTTGGTGTTACTAGAGCAGAGAGCTGTGTGCCAGCCTAAGGCTGAGGGCAAGCATTGGAGGGATGGAAGCAGAGGGGTAACATGATCAAATTGTCTTGGAGAAAGATCACTCTGGCTTCCTTCAGAGCATGGGTTGCAAAGCTGTACAGTGGCAGGTAGAAACAGGTAGGGAGGAGGCCCATTAGCTGTTAAAACCACTCAGGACAGAAGCAGTGATGGGGATGACTGTGGGGTAGTCTGTCTGGAGTTAACATGGATAGGACTAGACAATGGCTTGGGAGGGGGGGCAAGGTGGATACAGGCCTGAGAGCTTGGGATCTGGGATCTGTAGGGACAGTCTGGCCCTCATGGACAGGCTGCATTGGGTGTGTCTTGGGGACACTCAGGAGCTGCAATCTAGTAGGCAGTTGGGTGTGAGGGTCTGGGCTTAGATAAACCCTGTCAGGGAGGAGATTGGCAGGCAGCCAGGGTTGCCTGAATCAAGGGCAGGGGAGGATTCTGCAAGGGAGACCTGTCAGCTGCTCCAGTGCTGCAGAATGAGTGCCCCTGCCAGGACTCCAGGGCGCTCCTTGGATTGGGGGGTTATGGCACTGGGCAGGCTGTGGTCTGGATTGACATAGGTTTAGGAATAGAGGGAGGAGAGGGGTGTGGCTTGGTTGGCAGTTGGGAGAATGGTGAGGAGTGAGGTTCATGGAGGGAATTACCCAGAATCTGGGTTGGGTTGGAGGAACAGGTCTAACAAGAAGTGAGGTAGAGGACGTGGATAGCACAAAAGATGGCATGAGACACAAGGGGCTGGGGGGTGCCTGCCCTGCTCTGAGGGGGAGATCCTAAGAGCTGCAAGCTGAGGTGAGGGGGACCCTGGATGGCTCTTGTGCTGGGTTCCGTGTGTTTGTTCCGGCTTCTGTTGGCAACCCTTGTTCTCCATAGCTGGGGATGGGCTGGGAGGGCACAGAGGAGAAGGGGACCTCTGCTGTGCTGCTGTTGTAATCAATGCTACCACCACCCTGGACCCAACCTCCCTGGGTAACTGGGGTGAACAGCACTGCTGCAGTCCTGCCTGAGTCAGCTGCTTGCCCAGTTTTGTTGGTAGGGAGGTTAGGGGGAAGTGTCACCCTCTGGCTTGCCTCTCCAGCTTTGCTTGCTGGGTCCACCAGGTGGCACACATGCCCTCCCTCCTCCCTACTCCAGCTGGGGATTGGCCTAAGCTCTCTGTGTTGGGAGGTTAGGGCTTAGTCACACTTGCCTTTCATTTTGGACCCCTCCAGTGACTTTCACTGCCTCTGTGAGTCAGGTATGTTGCTTTTCTCTGGCTTGTGGGGTACCAGGGAGCTCCCTCCACCTCCAGGGCTCCAGCCCAGTGGGGGGCAGGCTGGTGGGCAGGCAGGGGCTGAGACAGGGAAACCTGAGACCTGGGCCACGAGGTCCCGGCTGCTAATTTTAGAGAGCACATGTCACTGGAAACTCTCCCCTCCTGCCAGGAACCAGCGGCCTGGCTCTTCCAGTACTACCAGGGTCCTCTAGAACCTGTCCCCAAACCAGGAAGGAGGGTGGGTATCTCATGTCTCCTGGAATCTGCTCCACTCTAAATACTTGTTTCTGACAGTGGTTCTGCTAGGGCCCAGGCTCCAGGTCCTGACCTGAAAAGCGCCAGGTTCCAGGCCCCTGCCTGGGTGTCCTGTCAGGTTCCTGCTTTGTGTACCTGCCGTTTGGGGACAGTGTTAATCATTCTGGTGCAGAGGATAGCTCCTGGTCCACCTTTCCCCTCATGTCGCCAGATCTAGACCTGCAGCATCTCACGTGGCTGCTCTGGCAATCCAAGAGGGCAGGTCTAGGCTGGAGGCAGGCATGGGGCGGGAGCATCCAAGAGAAATTAATGTCGGCCATTTTTCTCTCTTTCTTTTGCTTACCTCTCCCTTTTTGTAAACAACCACAGCCTGCTTAGACGCCTGGTGACTCTCATCTCCCAGCAGGCCACACTGCTGGCCTCCAATGAAGCCTTTAAAAAGCAGGCAGAGAGCGCTAGTGAGGCGGCCAAGAAGTATATGGAAGAGAATGACCAGCTGAAGAAGGTGAGTTCTGCCTGCCTGACCCCACCATGTGACATTCTTTATGGGCCACAGTGGGCATCGTGAGCCTATCAGTGACACTGTGGTTGTTGAACAAGCCGAGAAATTGGGTGGAGGGGCAAAGGGGGATAGTTCTCAGTGGGAGCATATACAGGAGGGGTCTGGGGGACTGGGAGAGAGGGGGGTGCTCTTGTTGTTCTCTCACCACTACTTGCTATATTGAGGCCAGACTTGTTTCCTAATAAAACTGACTTCCTAGTGAGCCCAGCCCTGTACTGTGACCTGTAGGCAAGTTAGCACAGAAGAACGTTGCTATCAGCTGGGATGAGGCAGGGATGGGGTGTGGCCAATCCTAGAAGGCCTGTGAGAAGAGGTGAGGTGTGAGCCAAGCTGGGAAGGAGGCTGATGGTCTTGGATTCCGAGGCAGGATAGAGTTGGACAGGCGGGGCGAGTTTGGGGCTCCTTGGCCAGAGTGAGCTGTGGAGCCTGGGGGAGGAAGGAGGAGCATTGGTCACTTGGAAGTGACTGGCAGCAATCCCCAGATGACAGCAAATTGACTCACTGGATGGATTGGTAAACTCTGAGGAGCTGCTGAGAAAGAACACAGGGCTGGGGGCCAGGGTGGGCCGGGTGTGTGGCCTGTGAGCTGCAACAGGTGGCCCTGCTGGCTCTGGCCTTTGCTTGATGGCTAGGAACAAGCAGTGGCCCAGTTCCGTGCTGACATTTCTGAAGGGGCAAATGCCCAGGCAGCTTGAGGAATCACAGCTCAGTGGGGAGGACGGTGTTGGAGTGCCTCCCTCCCTCCCACCCAAGTAACCATGCCCTTGGCACTCTTCCTAGGAAGCTGCTGGTGGTGGAAGCGGGTTGACTGCCAGGGAGGTGAAGTTGGAATTAGCGAACAGTGACTTGAAGGTTGAAGTGGAGAAGCTGAAGGATGAGCTGGCCATCAACAAGCAAAGTGAGCATTTTCCTCGGGTGTTCCCTGGCCCCCATAAGTCGGGAGCCTCCACTGGTGGCTACCACCGCTCTCCTGCCAAAGTATTAATAACAAGCATGCAGGCTCAGGAGCTGGGTGAAAACAAACAAGTGGCACCCTTATCATCCAGCTCAGACACCGCCTGTGGGGCTCTGTGGTTTAGTGGTGCATGTGGGGTCCCGCTGAGGAGGGCCCTGGGATTCCTGGAGTCCTGTAAACTAATTCCAGAGCATCTCACTCAGTGCCAGGCATGGAGTTGTGGGCATTGTTGTCACCAAGGGCTTGTGGGTAGGGAAGGAAAGAACTCAGGAGACTAAATGAGAGCTGGTTGAGATGTTCCCCCAAACCCCTCTATGAGTTCCCAGACATTCCCTTCCTGAAGGCCTCTCCAACATACCTCTTCTGTTCTCAGCTTCCAGGCTGGGATTCTGTTCCCTGCCTCTTGCTCTCACTCCTAACATTCTCAGAATGTTTGTTCTATGCCCTCAGACTTCCTGAAATCACCCCTGCCAAAAGCCACTCAGGGTACCATCATTAAAGGGGCTGGGGGTCCTCGGTATTTTCCCACTGCCCCCAGCTTTGTTGGCCAACTTCCCCATTTGGGGGGCTCTCAAGGCAGCTGGCAGAGGAGCTATCTTGAGAGGAGTGGTCTGGACTTCACTGGGGACATATTCAGGGCCCATATCTGGTGTCAGCCCAAGTGGGGTTTTTCTTGCTAATCCCCATCTTTTTATCACTTGTGTCATCCCCAGAACTAGAGAAAGCTGAAAACGAGACTTTGGCCATGCGGAAGCAGGCCGAGGGCCTGACCAAGGAGTATGACCGCCTGTTGGAGGAGCACATGAAGCTGCAGGTCAGCATGCCTCGGCTGCTCTGTTGGATGGGAGGCCCCTCTTACCCTGCCACCTTATCCCTGTACACTGCCCTCCTGCTTTAGACCCTTCAAGAGGCCCTGGCAGTGGGGTCTGCTCCCTCTCTCTTGCTCCCCCTTTCTTTCTCCATTGCTGCTGAGTCTGGGCCTAGCAGACAGAACCCTTTCTTGGGTCGGAGGGGTGTGGTCTGGCAGATGGCAGCCACTTAATTAAGGTGTCTCAGCAGTAGAGTTGGCCTCATGCTGAGCATCAGTGCCTTTGAGAGGAGTTTTTTCCCTTATGTGACCCCCCCCCCACCCCTGGTCTGTGGTGTGGGGCCTCTGAGTTGAGTCCGAGTTCACTGAAGGAACTCCATCAAGAACCAGACACCCACCCTGGCTGGTTTGGCTCAGCGGTTAGAGCGTCGGCCTGCGGTTCCGAGAGACCTGGGTTTGGTACCTGCTAAGGGCATGTACCTCGGTTGCAGTTTGTCCCCGGCCCTGGTTGGTCGTGCAGGTGGCAGCCACTCAGTGTGTCCCTTTCACATCGACGTTTCTCTCTCTCTCTCTTTCCTTCCTACTATAACTGAACAAAAAATGGAGAAATGTCCTTGGGTGAGGATTAAAAAAAAGAACCAGACAGGCATACAGGGGAAGCTCCAGGCCTAGCTGCTGGCCTTCACTCTGTAGGGGCTGCAAGGTGATGTGGGGGCAAAAAGCTCGGAGCATTGCAGGCCACCCCTCCCCCCAGCATGTGCTATTCACTGCTATCACCTGTGCCCCCAGGCATGGTCTGAGCCCCCAGACTAGCTGCACCTGCAAGCTCAGGTGGCCTGGGAATCGGGCATGAGGGCCAGGTAAATATTCCCAAGTTCTGATAGCTTGCCTTGGCACTTGGCCCAAGTTTGGGCACCACAGTGGTTGAAGAGGGTGGGGCCAGCCCTGAGAGGAGGCCAATAGCCTCAGTGTAGGGCAGGCTCACCGGCAGGAACTATAAAAGGTGTGCAGAATTGGGAAGATCCTGACTTGGGACTTAGAAGGGACAGGAAAGTTGAGCTGTTGTGGACATGGGAGCAGGGGCGGGGTGGGGTCCAAGAGGAGGGGTTGGTTTGGGGTCAGCTGGTGTTAGGGTCGAGGCCTTCAGTAGAGTGAGGCTACTCCCACTCTTGGAGGCCTTTGGGTACTGCTGAGGGTGGGGACCTTTGTTCACGATACCTGTCATTTGGGGAAAGGGGGTGCCATGCTAGGCCTTTGGGGTAGTGGGGCTAGAGGGCGAAGTGGAGAGTGCGCCACCCCAGTGCTTTGATTTTTTTTGTCCCTTTTTAGGTGGAGATAGATGGTCCCACGGACAAGAAGGAGGAGTGAGGACTCTTCCTCTCCAACTGTGGCTGTGGCCTGGCCCAAGTTTGCTGCCTCCTGAGAGCCAGGCCTCCCTTGCCACTTGTACTTCCTGCCCCCTCACACTGCTTACAGTTCCTTGTTCTCCCAGCACCCCCATGGGGACCAATTTTCACCCACTCAGGATGAGCTTGCTGCCGGCCTGGCCGGCCAGGAGCAAGGTGGGCACCTGGAACCCTTGTGGTGGGGCTTGTTTCCTGCTGGGTTGAGCCCCTTTTTGTGTTGTTCATTGATGTTTGGGGTTCCAAGGCCCCTTTTCTCTGGTCCTGCAGGAGGGTGGGTGGAGCAGGCAGAGTAGAGTTTCTCTTGGCAATAAAGGTTGTTATGATATGTCTGTAGTACATACGTGTAACTGAGGCTACCCACCCTGGAGTGATATCTCTGACAGAGACCCCCAGTCTTTGCCCTTCCGGGTACTTTCAACTTGTTCTAATCCTTAAAGGCTCCCCCCCACCCCAGGCTAGGCCCAGGCTCATACCTGCCCTCTTTGCCCCCCTGCCTCCCTTGGCCAGGCTTCATTTTATGGCCTCTTGGGATATGCCTGTCCTGTTGGTCTCCTTAGGAGTTGGCCACTGGGCCCAGAGAAGCTTGTTAGACTCGGTAAACTGGTGGGTCTTTCTGGTGGCGTATTTGCTTGCCTCCTGTAGGTCCTGTTCATCACATTTAGGACAGATAGAATGTGGCAGAGTGCCACTAGTCACTCCCTCTCGCCGCCCCCCCCCCCCCCGAAGGTTTGCAGGATGACCTCTGAGTAATGCTGGCTGAGAGAGGAGACTCGCCCTTGGCAGTGACCTATGGCTGGCCCAGGGCAGAACTAGGAGGAGGGGAGGGGCTCAGGATTGGTCTGGTGCAACTCTGGGAGTATTGGGTGTGTCAGTCAGCTTGGAGAGCCTGCTCTTCTAGCCTGCTGCCCCTCAGCATCCCCCTAGGTTGGCTTCTGTAGGTGGCCTCCTCTGAGTATGCCCTAGTACTTAGGGTCAGCCTGAGGCCTGGGGCAGGGTTGACTGGGGCTGCCAGCCCCGAGGAGTGGGCAGGGGACTGTGGGAACAAGGGGGTGTATTCTTTTGATATTGGGGGGTTCCCTGAAGATGATGGTGCTAATGACCAGCCTTATGCTCCCCTCCTCCTGCCCTGGCCAGGCCTGGGCCGCTGGCTCCCTTTTCCAGTGTCTGTGTCTTCCCACCTCTTCCAGGGTGGTGCCTGCTGGGGAGGGGCCCCCAGGTGACACCCTGTGGTTGATATGCCAAGGCTGAAGGCTGGTCCCGCTTTTCCAGGAAATGTTCCCTGATGGCAATGGCCTCCTGAACTCACCTCTCAAACTTCTAGAGTCCAGAGTCCAAAGAGCATGGCTTTGGGTACTTCCTTGGCCAGCCCCAGGTGGCCTCTGAGCCCCTTTGATGTCAGGCCCTGGGCTAGGCATAGAGGGGATGGCTGCCTAGCTGGGCCTGACAGACTCTTAGAAGTAGAAAGTGAGGCACAAACCCAGTCTAGACTGGAGGTTCAGCTGCGCCACCTGGCTGATCCATTTCCTCCCTGTGTCTCACTTAAGATTGCCTGTCCCTTTGTCATAAGCTCCTACCTCAGGGAGTAGCTTTCTGAGTAAATGGTGCTTGCCCACAGCTCTCCTGGCCTCAGCCAAGCAGTCCAACCTCTGTCTGGTTCTCTTTTTGTGATGTTGATGTTTTCTGAGTCTTTGGTGGTGGTGTGGCAGGTGGCTTAGAGGCCATTTGGCAAGAGGTGACAGAACTGAGTCGAGTCACAGCCACTGTTGGGGGAGTGGAAAAGTTGAGTTGTTGTGAGCCTGGGTGAGGTGGGGAGGAGTGGGTCTGAGGATGATACCAGGCTCTGTCCAGCTGATAGGAGTTGCCAGGGGGCAGGACCTGGTATGAGGAGCTTATCACCCCAGGAGAGCCATGCTGGAGATTTGGGAGCTGCCAGCACTCAGGGTTCTGGAAGTGCAGGCATGATGAGAACTGAGGGTTTATAACATGAGAAGCCTTTAAGAGAAGGGTGGGACAAAGGTTGGGTTGGAAGAACAGGTTGTCAGGCATCTTACAGGGGCTGGCCTGCTGGGGAGGCACCTCCCCATGTGCCAGCACAGGCTCTATAAAGATCTTCCCAAGGTCTGTAGGGAACTGCTCCCTGTCCAGGTTCTTGGTGACCATCACAGCATGGCTGATGACAACATCACAAGCCAGAGCCAGCCCTGGCTGTACAGTTGGGGCTTAAAGCCCCTCCTCACTAAAGGGTACATGCCTTGCTATATAAAGAGCAGGGACTGGCCTGGGAGGGCCCAGAGAGGAGCAAACTCTTTTCTGACGGCCTTTTTTGCCCAGACTGGCATCCAGAGCACCAGGTTCCTAAACTTTGACCTTCCACAGACCTACCTCAGCTGACGACTGGGCCCATGCCTTATCCTGCTTTCCCTCCCGTGACACTGGATCGAGTGCCCTGCTCTCACCTAAGGCTGAAGCCTCTTGTGCTTGAGGTCCTGCACACAAGGACCTGAATAGAGCCATTGTCTCCAGTTCTTTCCCACCCTTTCTTTTAAGTTGTGGTAAAATATATGTAACCTAAAACTTCCATTTTAATCATTTTTAAGATTACAGTTCAGTGGCGTCAAGGACATCGTTGTGTGTCACTGCCATCTATTCCCAGAGCTTTCCATCTTGCAAAACTGAAACTCTGCCTCCATTAAACACTCACCCCCATCCACCTCTAGCCCCTGGCACCAACCAGCCCACTCTTCGTCTCTATGAATCTTAACTCCCCGAGGGGCCCATAGAAAGGAATCATACAGTGTTTGTCCTTTTGTGTGACTTCTTCCACTCAGCATAATGTCTTCAAGGTTCGTCCATATGGTAGCATGTGTCAGATTTTCCTTTTTAAGGCTGACCAATACTCCACTTTATGAATAGACCATGTTTTGTTCATCTGTTCCTGTCAGTGGACACTTGGGTTGTTTCTATTCTTTCTTAATCCCACTCCAGTCAGGCTTTTGTACACCACCGCCCCCAAACCAAACCTCTCTTGTCCAGGTCTCCATGATCCTGTCACCAAACCCAGCAAGCATTCTCAGGCCCCCTCTCCTTTGACCATCAGCAGCACCTGACAGCCGAGCACTTTCTTCTCCTGGACCCTCACTGGGAGAGGGAGGTGTTCCTCAGACATGCTCCAGGATCAGCTCTGTACTCTTAGAGTCTGTCCCACCGGTTGGCCACCCCATCCTGTTCTCATTGCCTGTTCCCCTTCTCAGCCACCTCTGAGTGTCCCAGGCCCCCAGGGCTCAGTGCTTGGGCTGCCTCTCCCTCTACACCCATTCTTGTCTGCCCTTTGCTAAACTCATCCAGGCTCAGAGCTTTCAGGGCCATCTTTATATGCTGAGAACTTCCTAAATTGTCTCTTTAGTTCAGACTTTCCAGAATTCTTATCCAGCTGCTGTCTAGAGGTCTCCACGCAGATGACACTACTATCCCTTTCAAACCTCTTCATGTCCTTGGCACCACCACCCTTTGTGGTGCTCACGCTTAATCTCTTGAGGCCTTCCTAACTCCTCTCAACCCTGCATCCCAGTGGTCAAGCCCTATTCTTTCTGCTTTGCAAACTGGTCTCTAATCCAGACTTTGCACTGCTAGTGCCCTGGCTGGTAAACCCCTCCCCAGGCTCTGCTGCAACCTTACCTCTCCACCTCCCCTGTCCCTCACTGCCTGCATCTTGGAAAGTGTTCTGTTCAGTGTGGCATTTGGGCAACCTTTGGAAAATCTGCACCCGTGACTTCCCACCCACCTTCCGTGACCTCACACCCACTTGCCCTGCTCAGTGTTCCTCTTTAGCATACTGTAATGCTTTCTCCCCAAGTGTGTCAGCTCCTTGGGGAAAAGGCTTTCTGCAGGCTTCCTTCCCCGGTTGTATAATTCCCAGTTCCTGGAACACTGTCAGGTATGGAGACCCCCAGAACAAATTCTTGCCTAAGTAAACAGCTCGAGGTAGGGAGGCCTCCCCTGTACCTTCAGTCCCTCCCGACCCCCAGACAAGCAGAGGTGGAACAGGAACCAGCTTTGGAAAATGACATGTTTTTATTGCTATGTTTGCAGTGGCTTTTAGCACAGTAAGAATGTCCCCGCTCCCCCCCACCCTCCCCCGCCCGCCTAGTCCCTCCCCTCCAGCTGATGTCAGGGTGTGGGGGAAGTCTTTCTAGGGTCCACTCAGCTATCCCGGGATTGGATGTGACACGGAGTGGGTTAAGTAAAGCTGCTACATGGAAGACTTGAGATGTGGAAAGTGCATCAGCTTTAAGCTCGCAGGTGGGAGCCAAACTCGGATCCCTTCCCTGGCTGGTGCCCACCTCAGCTCCCTGCAGTCTGCCCAGCCCAGGGGGCAGGGTGTGGGTAAGCTTGAGCATGCCAGGTGAACAGCCCCAGATCCCTGGGGCAGAACACCACACCTACTCATACCCCATGACTTGTGGACAGAGGGGCAGTGTGGGGACACCCCTCGAGGCCCCTACCTTGCACTTTTCCACCTCAGTCTGGGGCCGGGGACTACACATGCATACCCACACAACAGACTAGCACACTCAACAGCTTGAAGCTCTTGTTTTGCCTATGAAAATTAGATCTATAAATTCACACTCCTTGGCTGGGGCAAAGGAATAAAGAGGGGCTGAAAGGGACTGTGAGTGGCAAGGAGAGGGACCTCAGGGCTGTTTTCTCTTTAGAAATATACAAGCAGAAATCTCTCTCAAGTTTTTATAAAATGTGCAAAATACAAGCCTCATTTGCCCACAGGCACAGTTTACACACCTGGTATTCACCTTTGCTAAGAGATAGAGATCTGTATATGCCCTACATACTCACGCACACATGCACTCATACACAAGCTCACACAATTGATATTGGTGGCAATTGGCGCAGGAACCAGAAGGTTCCATTGCTGGCTGGCTCTCTAAGCTTCTAGATTAGGGATGGGGAGAGGGGTCTAGCCCAGTTGAAATACTCACCTTGGTTCTGCTGCCCCTCCCTCACCTTCCTCCCCTCTCCTGTTCTGCTGTTCCCCAAGCTGCCACTGCTGCCTCTGGGGTAAGGAGCCACCCAAGGGTGTGTTGGGCAGAGCCTGGAGAGGCAGGGGCACTAGTGGGAGGGCAGGCGACGGCCTGGGAAGCAGCGTGGGCACCAGCTTGGTTGGTGGGGGGAGGCATCTATTTTTGGTGGGTTGTGGTATTTTTGGCATTTTATTAAAAATGGAAAAAGTTATTTTAGTTATAAGCACTCATGGGTGCTTCCTTCCCCTCCCCCCCCAGGCAGACCCCAAAAGTGTCAGGGAAAGGCAAGCCCCCTGGAGGGGTTGGGGGCGCTAAAGCAGGAGCTGCTATGGCTACAAGAGGGAGAGCTGGCACTGGGAGCCGGCTGCCTGTCACATGACGCTCTCTACCACCACCACCTTGTTGCTCTCGGCCACTGGGGTCAGGGTGGTCAGGCCCCTGACCTCCAAGTCTTGAGCTCTGTACTCCAAGTGGTGGAGGCCCCAGACAGGCTGTGTCAGGTGCTGCCAGCGCTGCAGGAGAAAGGGACATGGTGAGCCCCTGGGAAGGGACACCTGCTTGTCCTTGGCCTCTTTCCACTACCACCACCTGCCACCAACTCAGGGCCCAGGGCTGCTCCTCCCGGGACACGGACCAGGCCCTACTCCCTGCAGCAGGGAGACAGGGCCGTGTGGCTGTGAGAATGGAAGCTAGGGACAGACCTCTCCCCGTACCACGACCCTGGATGGCCAGCTTTCCTTTCATCCAGCTGGCTCAGAGGCTTCTGGTACAGTGGGTGGAACGGACAGTGGGAGGTTAAGGCTTTGACCCACAAGAAGGGAGGGGCAGTGTCAGGGAACTGACCTCAGCCATGGTCCCCTTGGCCGTGAGGAGGCGGCCCAGCAAGTGGAGGGGCACACACAACATGGAGGAGAGCGCGAGGCCCCAGCCCATAGCCTCGCCCCACCATGGGTACACGTAGGTGTTGTTGTAGACCAGTGGCTCGGAATACACAGCATTGAAGACAAAGATGCCCTGTGGAGAGAATCTACAATCAGCCAGTGGTCCCAGGTGCCCTGCCCCACCCAGTCCAGCCTTCCTGGCCCTTACCATGCAGACCAGTGGGGTGAAGAAGGACCAGCACCATTTCATCCAGGGGCAAGGCCGGTACCCAATCATGCAGGCCACGTCATCCATGAAGCGGTCAGCTCCTGGGGTGAGGAGGCAGGAGGGCTAGAAACTGGAGACCCACCACCCTGCTCCACACCACAGCCCCACTCGCCCCTTGGCCCAGACCTACCATATACCCAGGCGACCACCACACACTCCCAGAAGGCCTGCCAGAGCAGGGTTGTGCCACTGGCCGAGTAGTAGTCAAACAGCTGGAAGACATACATCCCACCCTGGGGACAGAGCCAGGTCAGGGCAGGTGGCAGCCACGGGCCAGAGGCAGCCCTTACCCTACCCTCACTCACATCCGTCACCATGGAGAGGTCGATGACAAAGCAGAGAGTACAGCAGAGGGCCACAGAGATCTCCCTTTGGAAACGGAAGTAGTAGGAGGCCGGGAGGAGGTCCAGCAGTCCTGTGATGAAGCCTTCCACACCTACAAACTGTGGCTAGGTGCTCAGGCCATGTCCCTTGCCCACCCGCCAGTTCCTCCCTGCTCCCAGCTCCCTCTGTCATGTCCCCTCTGCAAACCTGGCTGTCCAGGCCCAGCAGCAGCAGCATGAAGAAGAACAGGGCAGCCCAGAGTGGGGCCACGGGCATCAGCGTGACGGCCCGGGGGTAAGCGATGAAGGCCAGGCCAGGCCCTAAGGGGGAAAGGGGCAGGATGTGGACACCTGTGGCCTATGCCCATTTCCTGTCCCCCACCCCTGCTCCCTGGTACCAGAACTGTGGATGATGGCAGGGCACCCTATAGCCAAGGGCCTTTCCCCTCATGTCAAGGCACTTCTGAATGGCTCAATTCCTTTGTGGGTGTGCTCAGTAAACCTCTGCCCATAGGAATGGGGGGTCTGGTTCAGACTTCTGGTCACCATTGACCCTGGAAAGGTCTTTCTTTCCCTCTGCAACACTGGCAAATATGAAATCATACCCTGAGGTCCCTGAGGGGATGGATAGCCTGGGGCTCCAGGTGGCCTGGCCCACAGGGCTTTAGCCCTAAGCTGGCTGGAACAGCTGTGCCTTGCAGTTGCTCATCCAGGCCTACCTCTGGCCCATAGCAGTGTGACAAGTTGAGTTTGAATTTTTTTTTTTTCATTTCTCAGAATGTTGATTTGTATGTGCATGTGCATTCACGTACATGGTATGTTGGACAGCAGCTGCTGTTCCGGAAGCCAGGCTGGGGCCCAAGGGTCTTTACCTGACTCTGCCACTTTGGAGATGTGCACACCCTGCTCTGCAGCCATGAAGCCCAAGATGGAAAAGACCACGAAGCCAGCGAAGAAGCTGGTCCCGCTGTTGATGAGTGCAAGGATTATGGCGTCCCTGGGGGGCACAGGGGACCGAGGGAGCTAGTTAGGCTGCCTCCTTGCTGCCCATGGGTGGGCAGGGCAGGGCAGGGCAGGGCAGGTGTCCTTACTTGTAGCAGTTGTTGTTGAAGCGATTGTAGCTGCCGAGGGCTGTGAGGGCCCCTAGGCCAATGGCATAAGAGAAGAAAATCTGGGTCCCGGCATCTATCCATACCTGGAGATGGGCCAGGAAAGAGTAGATGTGAGGAGCCCTGTTGGGCTGGCCCCCTGCTCTACCTCCCACTACCTCCACCTCACCTGAGGGGACCCCAGCTTTGACCAGTCAGGCTTGAGATAGTAGATGATGCCATCCAAGGCGCCAGGCAACAGCACTCCACGTACCAGCAGCACAACAAGGACCACGTAGGGGAACGTAGCAGTGAAGTACACAATCTAGGGGGCCAGGCTGCTCAGAGGGGCCCTGCGGCGCCCACCTCCCACTTAGAGGCCCCCAGCCTGAGCAGCGCAGGCCACGGCCCCCCGCCACTGGACAGTGTGTCCAGGGGTCAGGAATGAGGCCAGCCAGCAGCCTTCCCTTATACTCCTCAGACCCATGGCTCCTTCCAAAGGAAGCCAGGTGCTTGGCTGGGGCATTAGCAGCCCCATGGAAAGCACAAGTCAGCTGCAGAGGGAGGGGAGAGACAGGGCCCTCTTTGGGCAGAAAGTGGGAAAGCAGCCTGGAGGCAGGTCCTATGTATCCCATGTCTCTGACTCCAGGTCATCCTCTGCAGAGAGGTGGGGTCCTTGGTAGCTGGGATTAGAAGTGGGCCGGCCAGAGACAGGCAAGAGAGAGACAGACGGCAAAGGCCTCTGCCTTCCATCCAAGTGGGACCGCCAGCACGGGAGCTGGTGCTCTTCAGACCCTGCTGGGGAATGAGCCAGCCCTCCAGGGACCTGGCCATGTCCCACAGCCCTTCGGCACACTGGCTTATGCATTTGTTCACACATTTGTCTCTTGAACCTGACAGAGAGCTTCTGGGGAAGGCATGTGTCTAAGACTCGACCCTGGGCCAGACAGGCAGGCAAGAGAGAGTGCCATAGGGCAGGTCAACCCAGACAGTCCAAACAGACTCAGATAGAGAGTGAAGAATAGAGAGAAATGAGGAAGGAGGGAGGGGACAGGGATGCCCAATACTGGGGAGGGGCGGCTGTTTGTTAGACCTGGATTTGGAGAGTGGGGAGGACTACCCAGCCACGGGATGGGGATCAAGTGGCCTGGATTGAAGTACCTGACCCCTCCTCAGGCCCAGGTCCAGTCACCTCCTGTTGCAACAGTGGTTCCTGGCAGAGCCCTCCCTCCCCCCAGGCAATGCTGCCCCCAAGCCCTGCTGTCACTCCCAGCACTGCCCGCCTCCAGCTGTACCTTTCCTGTTGACTTGACCCCCTTCCAGACACAGAAATAGACCAGCACCCAGCAGGCCAGCAGACACAGGGTCACCTCCCAGTTGAGGGCCCCTGGCACCTCCAGCCCCCTGGAGAGCCGCAAGACTTTGTTCCTGGAAAGGGAGAGCCCCCATGAGGGCTGTGCCAACTGAGGGCAAAGCACTGGGAGCTGCCCAGGGTTGGTGCTCCACTCCTGCAGCCCTCGTGTCCAACTGGTCCCTCCTGAGCACCTGGGCCCAGCCCGCCTAAGCCTGTCACTTGGAAACATCACAGTGTATGTGCCAGGAGCCTAGGAGCCCCTGAACAGGTGATGGAGGTAGTGGCTACCTCCAGCACACATTGTGGTAGTTCCTCCTCCCCTAGGCTGGCAGGTACGACCGAGTCACAGTGCCCAAAGTAAGAAATGGTGCTGAAGGGGCAAGGCCCATCCATCCTGGCTCCCCCAGGGACTGGGCTGGGGGGCGGGGTCCCCAAGGGCAGGCAGGCCCAGGAGTGACTTCTGCTGGGAATCCCCCCAGGGTTGGGTCCCACCTAACCCATGCAGATATGGGCCACAGGCTACGTGTGGAGCCCAGAGAGAGGCACAGGCTGGGCCTGTTCCAGAGGCGCCTGACTCACTCCCAGAACTCGATGACAGGGGACCGGCGGTCAGCAAGCTGGTCACATGTGAGGTTGGCCAGGCTGGCATTGGCACAGTCTTCATGGTGGAAGATCTCCACGCAGTCGGGAGTGTTCCAGGTATGGCCGCACGTGGCCCAGGGCAGCGTGGTGGTGAAGGACTTCACCAGGTAGTAGAAGCCCCAGGCCAGCACCATGATGTAGTAGGTGTTGCAGTAGAAGACGATCACCATGGAGGCGTAGCCCAGGCCTAGGACGAGGGCAGTTTCTATTCAGGCTCTCCTCTGGCCAACTTCCCACTGCCCCCTAGCATCCTGCTCCCTGCATCTGCCGTCCTACCGCTTCCCATTATCCATCCCCCAGGTCCTTCAATGTCATGCTCTAGACAGAGCCCCATGGACTATCCCTTGCACAAGTGTCCCAATGCTAGACTAACTCCTCAATCTGTCTCTGGCCAAAAATCAGCCCCTGCTCCTGGCCTCACTTGATCCTCCCCGGACCCAAGGTAGAGCCCCTCCCATCCTGCCTCCATCTAAGCATTAAGCCCTATTGATTCCCTAGGCTCAAACACCTGCCCCTTCTCTTGGGCCTCACTGTCACCATGGCAGTTGAAGGCAGGCCAAGCCTCTACCTGGCCCCCCAGTGGCCTCCAATACTCAGCAGCTTGGGAGGCTTTCTGGTGACCTGGGGCAGTGTGGGAGACAGTCAACCTCTCAGCAGGTAGTCTCAGTCACTTCACCTATGTCCCAGCCTCCTTGGGGACAGTAACAGTAAAACCTACCTCCTAGGGCCTTGAGAAATGATGGGGAACACTGCCATGCACAGAAAGGGCTCTAAGGTGACCTTTGCCATTATTAGTTCTTCCATTCAGACCCTGAACTTTCAATGGCTCCCATCCAGGCTCCTTAGCCTGGCCCTCTGGCATTGGGAGAGCTGGCCCCGGGCAGCTTCTCCCACCATAGTCTCTTTCCCCAGTCACCCTCCACTCAGCCTCAGTGAGCCAAGTGTGCTTAGCAGAGCCTGTTCCCAGCCCTGCTGGGCCTGGGCATTCTCACCCTAGTAGAGAAGCCCAATTGCCCCTCTAGCCCTAGCCTGCCCAAGGTCACTGGGTGGTCTGCATGGTCTCCAGCTTCCCCCTCATGACTTGGGGGGGCCATCAATAGGCCCTAGGCCTGGTGCTCAGACAGGATGAGGTTTCTCAAGTGGGTGTCAGCCTTGCCCCAGCTGTGGGAAAGGAAAGAATGCCTGAGGGAGAGGGCAGAAAAGAGCTGGCCCAGGGCTGCTCACCTTTGAACAGGGGGCAGATGTTCCAGACATTGATGCTGCCGGCCTTCATGAACTGACCCAGTGAGATCTCCAAGAAGAAAATGGGAATTCCTCCGATCAGGGCGATCAGGATGTAGGGAATAAGGAACACACCTGAGGGAGGACACACAGGCCAGGGACTTGACCCAAACTCCACAACCAGGCTATGTAGGCTGTGGCCAGTCCAGCTTTCAGAGGCCCTGGGAGGCTGGGTGAAGCCCCAGCTCCAGGCTCCACCCCAGCCCCATCATAACTTCCCACTGGGTGAATCAGTGCAGGGGGTGGCCACTGACTCAGAAGCCCCAGGTGAACAGCCCTAGAGGAGGTTGGAGTGTTGGGTGGGGGTAGGGGGGGCTCTGGCCCAGCTCCCTGAGCTGAGGGGGTGTCCTAAGCCCACAAGGCTTCTACCTCCACCGTCACCTAGGGTGACCTAATGGGTATGGAAGACACACGTGCTTGCACACACAAGTCATCCCTCGTGTCACAGTTCCTTGTTTGCCAGGCAGTACAGGAAGGAAAGGCAGCAAGGGCATGTGCGTACATGTGTGTATGTGCGTGCATGTGTGCATGTGTGCCATGGCTGACACTCAGGACTAGGGGCCTGCCTGGCTTGGGCGAGGGCAGGTAGCACTTGCCTTCCCTGTATTCACACTGGGAAGGTCCAGGGAAGAAGGTGGGTGGGTGGTAGTCCTCTGCCAGTGTGTGTGTGTGTGGGGGGGGCGGGGGGGGTGTCTCAAAATGTCAATGAGCAAGGACAGAGGGAGACATCATGGGGGAAGCCACCTAGCTCTGGAGGCAGCATGCAGGGCAGGGCCAGAGACCACAAGCCAGGGGTGGGGGTGGGTGGGAGCTGGGCCCCACTAGCCCCTGTGCACTCCTCACTCATCCACAGGCTCCCTACCCTTGCCCCTGGCCCAGCTCTCTCCATTACTCAGAAGCTGGGCTTCACTGCAGCTTGCCTGGCTCTTGGTCCCCGCATTCTTCTTGTGTGTGACCTTGGGCAAAGGCCTTCACTCTGGGCCTCAGTTTCCCACCAGTCATCGTGGCTTCCCACCAACCCCCGTGCTGCTTTGCAGTCTCAGGACATGCGTGCCCATCTCTGTTGCTAAGCTGGGCTGGGGCGGGCAAGCGGGCATGGGTGTGCATGCAGTGTGTCCAGCGGCGGCGCCAGGCAGCCCAGGCTGCAGTCTTCCCATGCCTGGCTCAGGCACCCAGTGTTCCAGGCCCAGGCTAGAGGGAGGATGGGGAGGGGAGGGCAGGGGAGAGAGGGGAAAGGAAGGGAGGGGAAGGGAAGGGAAGGGAGGGGGAGGGACAGAGTGGCCCATTGTGTGTGTGTGTGTGTTCGTGTGTGCACACGTGGGGGGCCCACACAATGTGCCACTTGTGTGCCTGACCAGCGGAGGCAGCCAGGGCTCCTCACCTCTGGGAACCCCCCCCCAGGGGGCAGGCCTCGCCTTCCCACCTCGGTGGCCAATCCCAGAGCGAAGGGAGTATGAGCGGGCAGCCCCAGGGCTTGGGCCAGAGGCTCGCGGGCCCCCTCCCCCCACACACTGCCAGGCACATGACTGGCCTGGGGGTGGACGCTGCCAGGCTGGGCCACCGAGTGGCAACCGCCGGCGATGGGCGGCCCCTGGCCCCGTCTGCCTGGGGGGCCCTCCCCACCCCCTGGACTTCGCCCGTGCGCCCCATCGGGGCGGGCGGCGAGCGGGGGAGGGTCTAAGGCGCGGAGGAGCGGGGGCGCTCACCTCCGCCGTTCTTGTAGCACAGGTAGGGGAAGCGCCACACGTTGCCCAGGCCCACGGCGAAGCCCACGCACGACATGATGAAGTCCATCTGGCGCGTCCAGGTCTCGCGCGGAGGTACGGCTAGGCGGCCGCCAGGCGCCCCCAGGCCCGCAGGGCCATCGCTCTTGGCCGGGGCCCCGTCGGGCACGGGCGCGATCAGCGGACCCTTTTTGTCGTCTCCAGACACGCTGTAGATGCCATTCTCGGCGTTCTTCTTCGCCATGGTCCCAGCGGGAGGCGCGGCCGGGCCGAGGAACGGGTAGCGGGGGGCACCGGCGGCTTGGGGGCCCCGAAGGCGCGGGCCGGCCGGGGGCGGCCGGGCCAGAGTCGGGGCGACGGGCGGGCGGGTGGCGGGTGGGGTGCGGGGCGGGCGGGCGGCGCGGTCAGAAGCAGTCCACGAAGCACTTGAAAGTGAGCCTGAAGAATCTCATGTGTGTCGGGGGCCCGGGGGCGCGCGGGCGGCGGCGGGGCCCGGCCGGGCGGCGGCGGCGGCTCCCGAGGCTCCTGCCCGCGATTCGGGAGGCGGCGGCGGCTCCCGAGGCTTCTGCCTGTGCGCGATTCGGGCGGCGGCGGCGGCGGCTCGCCCGGCCCGAGGCTCAGCCTAGCGGGGCGCGGGCGGCATCGGGCGCCCACTGTCTGCAAGCGGCGGCCGGAGCATGGGTTTGCGGCCCGCGCCCCCCGCCCCGGCCCGGCCCGTACAACTGCCTGGCTCGCCCGCGGCTCCGGCTCCGGCTCCGGCTCCGGCTCCGGCTCCGGCGGCGCCCCGGGCGCGCTCGCCCCTCCTTCCCGGCGGCGGCGGCTCTGGCCGCTCTCTGGGCCGCAGCGGACTCAGTGACTCGCCACCGCGCTCCGACCGTCTCTCTCCTCGCCTTGACCGGCTGCTGCTTAAGAACCGACTCCGGGTGATGTCACTGTCGCCCCACCCCCCACGACTAGGCTGCTCCCCCTCCCCCGTCCCTCCCTCCCGCCCTCTCCGTCACTCCTCCCACCTCCTCCTGCCCTCCTCCCGAGGAGGAGACGCCGCTCCCGCGGAAAGCAGGATGGCTGCTACCTGAAGCACCCGTCAGCACCTCCTTCCCAGAGGCCGAACCGCCCCTGTCCCCAGGTTCACCTGGGCGTACCCCTGCCCAGATGGCCACTCCTAACTTGCCCTTCCCGGTTCTAGAAGAGCCTCTTCCCTGGCTGCCTTCCAGCCATCCTTAGCTCCCTTTCTCCTTCTCCCCTTCCTTCCAGCCTGTCCCATCTCTGGGCCCTCTCTGACTGTCATGTAGGGGCTGGGGCAGTGTTGGGCACTAGAGGGGTGCAGGGTGCTTTGGCCTCTTGAAGGGCTGGGCCCAGCTGGCCAAAAGAGAAAGGCTGGGGTGGAGATGTCTGCCTCCAGGTGTGCGGTCGTGTTTTGCCACAGGCACCGCCCTGCCTCCTCCTGGCATTCAGCCCTCCCCAAGGGGTGCAGCCCTGGAAGCTGGAGTTCAGGGTCTCAGCGTTTGGGGTGATAGGTCTCTACGAGTCTTTTAAGGGGGCAGAGGTGAGCCCGCCTGGCTGAGGTTCAAGGCTACAGTTTGTCACCAAGGTGGGGAGTGGTAGGGACCCCTGCTGTCCCCATCCCTGCCAGACCTGCCGGAGACACAAGTAGGAATCTGGTAAGGCTGCCCCCTGGTGCCTAGTGGGTGCACAAACCTTTCCTCAAAGGCCTCAGCTGCGAGGTCCCAACTCCCCACTCTTGACACTCCTCTCCCCAGGGACCTCCAGGCCTCCCCAGCAAGAGCAAGGTTATTCAGCTGCCTCTCCACTGGCAGCTGAGCAGCCTATTTGGAATTTTCCAGGGCCAAGAGCAGCCATGGGGTGGGGAAGGAAGGGATCATTGTCCTGGCTGGGTATGTGAAGTGTACCCCCCCCCCCAAGTCCCAGGCTCGCTGCAGTCCCCAGATGGCTCATCTCGTTAAGCTAAACCCTCAGCCATCCGGCGGCTTTAAGAAGAAAAGCAGTTCCGGCTGGAGCCAGATTGAGCCTGCTAGGTGAGGGAGGGGCAGCATCTCCACCCAGGCTGGTTGGAGGAGCCTCAAGAAGCATGTGGGAGAGATGGGTGGGACTGAGGGGGTCTTGGAGACCCTTGAGCTGGTAGGGTCACAGTGCTCATCAGAAGACCCTAACTTGAGCCTTCTCTGGCTCAACTTAGGACTGAAGCTGGTTTGGAGACAAAGAGGTGATAGAGAACTACGTTATCCATAGATGGTGTGGAGAAGCTCGCCCCTGGATGGGGGCTGCTTCCATGGAGAAGCGAGGACAGAAGCCAGACAGCACAGAGAGAAGCAGGGGGAAGTGAGGACGTGTCTGGGTGCAGGAGACTCAAGATCACACTTGTCCAAGGAGCGTGGTGGAAAGAGAAAGCAGTGACTGGAGAAAGACATGGGCGAGCCCTTGGTGTTTTGGGGAAGTGGCCACAGCTTCCAGGAAGGCATGGGGTGAAAAGACCAGGGTGGAGGGAGCCTGAGAAGAACCAAGGGAGCCAAGGGTGGGGCCCTCCTCCACTCTTCTGGGAAGGGAGGCAGGTTCTAAGGTTGGTGGCAGGAATGTGAGGGAGCTGCCGTTGCCTCTGTGGGATCAGAGGCTGAGAGGGAGGTGGCTGGGCCAGAGTGGCTGCTAACAATGGCTTGTGTGAGCTCTGGGACTCCAGTGGCAGAGGATCCCACTGCTCCAGGGACTGCTGCCTTCAAAGGGTGTATCCAGATGCTGGAGCAGGGGCCTCATTATCTGGGGTCAGGGTGGGAGTTGCAACAGGCTGCCAGACCAGACAGGGCCACACATTCCCTTCCTCGCCCGCCCTACCCAAGTTTTCTAGCAGCACAAACTGACCAGTCCCTCCCCATCTGCTCTTCTTTAGGCTTTTCTTCACACTAGAGATCAAGCTCAATTCTTCAAGGCTGCAAGATTGGGCACCAGCTGGCCCTTGGGCTCCCCAGTACTGAAAAGCAGCCGTCTCCCAAGCTGCCCTCTCTGCCCTTACCAGGTCCACTGCCTGGGGCACCTCTTCTTTGCTGACCTCCTTCTGATTCTGTAGGACTCAGCTCAGCTGCTACCTGTTCCAGGAGGCTAGAGAGGAAGGCGACCCAGTGACCCAGGCTTGCACTAGAGCCCCGCCAGGGCAGCTGGGCTCATATGGTACTCGAAGTTCAAGAACCCATCCTCTCGGGCCAGATTAGGCCAGAGTTTCCCCAAGTGGGAACTGGAGGCCATAATGATAACTTCTGGTGTGCTGACCCCCACAGCTTGTGGGAACATCCAAGTAATGATGTTCTGAGGGCGGTTCCCATAGGGTGCTTGGCACATGAGCCAAACAAAGGCAGAGGAATTTCCAGCCCTCAGGTTCTTGGCGTGTTCTCAGGGTTTGGTAAGGTGTACCTTGCCACCCCACCCCCAGCAGCAGCTGATGGGGAGGAATGCGGTGGATGCCCCAGGACCCCAGCTAAGGGCCTGTCCCTGCCAGCCCCATCTAAACCTCCATCTGTTTTGCCAGGTCCTTGTGTTCATGGCCCTGTGAGGCTGGTTCTGGAGCATGTGCAGGGGTGGGTGAGATACTTGTAGATACTTGCTCAACCCCCAAGGGGGAGCATAACCCACTGTCCTCAAGTATGGACTGTGCACTGGTAAAAAGCAGTGTTCTCCAGGCAGCAGCCATGGTGCACAGCTTTTCAGAGGCCAGTGGGGGTGGGGTGGGGGTGGAGCGTGAGGGGAGGAGGGGAGCACTGGAAGGAGGGCTCCCATTGTCCAGGGAGGTCTGGGAATTGGACCCAGTGCCTGCTGCGACTGGGGCTATAGGCCTCACTGGAGTGGGCTGGGTGGGAGGGCGCCCTGCCCTGGGGCAATGGGTTAACTCCAGGAGGGCCTGGGCAGCTGGAGGCTGGGGGATGCCTCTTCTGCTATAGGCTGCCAGCACAAGGAGCTTTGCAATTAGAATTAGCTGGGAACAAAGGGAAGGCCGGAGTCCACCTCGAAGGGCTTTGTGCTTCCAACAGCTGGTGAGGGGAGGATGGTACCAGGCTGCCCACCAGGCCTGGGGTCTGGGAGGGGACAACCTGACCCCTACCCCTGCACAGCACCCCTTGTTCACTAGCTGTGCTTATCCACACAGGCCCCTGAAAGGATTTGTAAATTTGTTTTTATGGGTTTTTTTAAATTATTTTTTTTGTTAATCCTCACCCAAAGATATTTTTTTCCATTGATTTTTAGAGAGTGGGAGAGAAGGGAGGGGGGAGGGAAAGACACACACACATCAACTGGTTGCCTCCCTCACACACCCTGATGGGCTGGGGCCAGGGATGGAATCTGCAACCCAGGTACGCGCCGCCTTGACTGGGAATGGAACTTGACACCCTTTGGTGCGCAGGCCGATGCTCTAACCACTGAACAACACTGGCCAGGGCTGTTTTGATGTTTTGAATAAACTTTTTATTTCTGAATAGTTTTATATGTACAGACAGATTACAGAGATAGTGAGAGTTCCCACACACCCACACCTAACATTGTACATTGGTATGGCACATTTGTCACAATAATCAAACAATATTGTATGCTGTGATTAACTCAAGTCTGTAATGTTATTCAGAGTTCCTTGGCTTTTCCCTCAGGTCCTTTTTTCTGTCCCAGGATCTCACACTGCATTAGTCATGTCTCCTTAGACTCCTCTTGGCTATGGCTGTCCTCTCAGATGGGTGACTGCTCTGCGGGCTTTGTCTGCTGTTTCTGTTCTGAGTAGATGTGGGGTGGGGGTGGGTGGCTATTGAGAGGAGGACTGAAGAGGTGAAGCACCCTTCCCATCACATCCTAGCAAGGCTCCAGGTGCTCAACATGACGTAGCCTCTGACCACGTCAACCTTGGTCACCTGACTGAGGTTGCGTTTGTTCACCAGGTGTCTCCGCTTTCAGTGTAATTTCCCACCTCTGCATCTTGTCCTCTTTGGGCCAAAGTCACAGTACACAGCCCACACCTGAGGACAGGGGTTGTGCTCTCCTTTGAGGGTTGGGCACGTATCTACATAAATTATTTTGAATTATCTGCACAGAGCTTGTCTCTTTTTCCCTATTTATTTATTATTTAGTCATTTACTTATAACTGAATATTTTATACTTTTGGTTATAATCCAATACTACTCTATCTTGTGGCTCAAATTGTTCCAGCATTAGCCAATGGGAACTCTTTTAGTTGGCTCTTGTGTCCCTTTCTCATACCCCCAATCACTGTGCGTGTGTGTGTGTGTGTGTG